GCGAAAGGAAGGGGTGGCGAGTACCGTGAGACGCAGTACCTTCTTTCGACGACCGTTCATTCGTTTACTCATGAAACTCAACGGAGCCATTGAGCCAGGCCGCGGGGGGAGGTTCAGGGAACTCTTCGCGATATGTGGAAGGAAAAGCCATCAGGGTAGCTTTGGTCTCCGCCGGGGCAGTGATATGTACTGGTGTTCCTCGGTGCGACGCTGAAATACGCTCGTTTTTTTTTGTTTCACAAGAATGAGATAAATATATGTCTACTTGGACTTTCCTCCTTCTTCCGCTGCCGGCTTTGCAGTGCATTAGTTGGCCAAGTACAAACTGGTGTGCTGTAGGTGTTTCAACACGTCCCTGACTGCTGTACATCTCATTTCAAGCACTGTCAATGTGTTCGACTTCAACAAACGGTTGCCAGTCGTCTCGGCGATGCTGACTTTTCGTGCCACCCCCTTCCTTAGCAAAAGGCGCGTAGTTTGAGGTATAGCATGCCTCCATTGGCCCCGGGGATGGTGAGCTATCGTTCCCTGCATTCTAAGGACGCAACCCCGCTCTAAGGACGCTTTTTTCTGGAAAAACCATGTGCGTCCTTGAAGCGGGGTTGACTGTAAGCAATCCTTGCAGAGCTGCCGCTGCTGCTGCTGCCACTGAAAGTTCTTGAGACATGAGCGTTCCCCGTAGTGTACTGTAGTACGCATACGTGGTGGTGTTTTTTCTGGCGCTACATGCGCAGGTGCCATTTTTTAACGGCACTACCACCATACGGCTTGGCGAGCAGCAGAAGAAGTGCTGTGCGTCTCGGCAGGCCAAAATGCCACGAGAGCCGCTCGCAATACATGCCTGCCTGACGGGAAGATACCGCACCCCCTGGACGATCGGACCGATTATCCGATTATCCGATTATCCAAGCTTGATTGCTCGACGACCAAGAGGGTTCCACAATGAGATTGTGCCTTATCGTGAAGCTGTTGACGAGATGGTTCAACTCCGCCAATTTGGCACCGCCACGGTTGTTACTGCAGAATAATGGAGCTTTTGACACATCGGTATCGGGGGTGTGGTATCTACCGCAACATGTATTGTAGGTCGGAGACCATCTCTCCTGTTTTCGTATCATACAAAGCCTTAGCTGTGTAATCTATGTAGGGCCGACTCGCCGCCGCCGCCGTTCCGTCGACGCGAAGGACGCGGATAGGAAAGAGAATTGCTCGTCTAAACTGCTTTGCTGGCGATATCTACCTATAGACCGATGACCCCCGAGTGTGGTTAAATTCGGGTCTTTCGGCTGGGGTGTCCACGATGCAAACGGGCATAACCCAACAGCATGTGGAGTTTCACCGCGGTATGTAGTTACCGTTACCATCAGGTCGGGTGGCGATGCCCGCTATTTTTTCCACCAACTGGACGCTACGCAACCCGACTGTGCTGTAACTGCTAAACTTGTGCCTTTGCTTGGACAATCGAAAGTTGTGTGCCGCTGAGTTCATGTCGGACATCGCGGGACAGGGCATCGACCACGCCGATCACATGTGCTTCGTCTCTGTGGTGGTGTCGTATCCTTGCCGCTGTCGGTGTTTACCAACCCCTCCTTTTGCTTTTGAAGACACGCTCGTGGCTGTGGGAGACTTTGCTCCAGCCCGTGCTCACTCTGCGGTGTCTCTTTTTGGTCCTTTGACAACGGTTGTCATGGACATCGACACGCCGCGCCCTGGGGAAGGGAACGGGGCCTCCGCATCGGCATCGTTCGCAACGACATCCGGGCCGAAGGTGCTTCTGTTCTGTTGTTGATTTATTGATTTGTTGTTGCTGTCACCTTTGTTTGTGGCGCTATAATAATGGGAGCGTTGGCTTTGTTTGTGGTTAGGCCTGTCCTCCATCGGCCGTTTTGCTTGTATGACGGAGAATAAGAAGGTGGAATTACTTGAAATTAGTATAGAAATTCAGTTTGTGTATCTAAATCGAAAATAAAACGGCCGATGGAGGACAGGCCTATTTGTGGTATACCTTCTCCACAAGCGGGAAATAGCCCCTTTTCTTGTTACCCACTTTTTTCGTTCGGATGTCCTTCGCTTTCTGCCAATCTTGGCGCACGTCGAACATGCCATCTCGTGGAGCGATGTGTTAGCTGTACACTAGTAGCCGTCGTTTCAGGCGAAGTCTCCACGCGGTTTTGCCTTTAAGTACGGCCTGAAAGGCCAATCCTAGTCCGGGTGATGTTGCCAATTGCTCGGGTTGTGATTGGGTCGGAGGTTATTGCCCGCCCCACCGGTTCCCCTACCCGTCTCACATGGCAGGGGTGCACGATTCCAATCCCATCGTTGACGGGTGTTCGTCTACAGATGCCTCCAACTGCGGAGATACGCAGGGCTCTGCTGGGCGCAGTGGAGGAGCTGTCCAACCATGGCCTCAAGCTCGCCACGAAATGGTGAATTTTGGCTGTGTCCGTTGTGTTACAGTTTTCACCTACAATTGTACCGGAATGCGGAGTCGTTCTTGATGGCGGGAGGGATGTTGGGGGGAGTGAGGATGTTGTGATGTTGTGCGCGGCTGCTTCCGCGGTGTTGCTGTCTTTGATGTTTGAGCACGAATGCCCTGTTCGTTTAGGGCGGTGCAAGTGTATTGGGATTCATCTCGGGTGTTTGGGTGGTCATGTTGGATGTTGGCTTTGTGCGTATCCAAAGCGGGGAAGTTGGGTTTGGACATTGCCTGTCCTCTGTTTTGTCCCCGCGCGCAACATGGTCCTGGCTTGAGCTTCAACTCAGGGCTATCTATTGTATGGGACAGTGGTCCTGCTTGACTTGTACCCTCTTGTTTTTCTCACAGGTGTACTTTCACCTACGCTTGTACTCCCAAAAACTTGATGTGCCCTGTATTTTGTTGCTTTTTCAACTTTTTTTTCGTTTGCTCTGTCTTGGATGTACAATACCATGGTCTTGTTGCGAAATCAGGGCTACTGAGCAGCTGGTCGGTCTGCCAGACGATGAGACGCCCGACGACTTGCGGTACGCGGCGGAACCAGACCCAGCCACCCCTCAGAAGCGGGAGGGGGGGGCGAATCTGTGGCTTCAGGGCCGCGTAGCGTTTGCAAAGTCCCTGATGGATGTCGGTGAGAAGGCCAACTGTGAAGGTTGATTGATTGATTGCTCTTGTGGTTTCCAACCAGTGTTTTTTGGAAGGTAATCGAGTTTGCACCATCCTGTGCTATTTGGCTCGCAGCTATGCCCATGTTGCCCTATGTCTTTTTCCCTTTTACTTCGCCTTGTTCCTTGTTCACGCTGATGTTTTGTTGCCTTTGACCTTGTGTTGTGACGACATGTACTTGTTGTGGCCGTTGTACGAGAGGTCGAGGTCGTGCTCAACTCACCCTACGGCAATAACCGGCACACACCAGCTGCACGATTGCATGCCGTAGGTTATTGTCTCTACACCAGGCTGGTATGTCATGGATCCGATCTGTGGCATGTGTGGCGGCAGGGTTGGCTGGCCTTCTCTCAGCACCGTGGTTTGGTAGCTACCTGAATACGAGAGGGTAACGGGGTGATGTCGCTGATCGCTTCCTGATTCCGGCTGTCGAAACAGCCATCAAATGCACAGACGAACCACTTTTAAGTCGCCTCTCTAAGGAAAGAAAATACCACACACACATTCGCATACAAGTGTTTGCACTCAGCTTGTCGGTGGCGGGGACGACGGCCTCACCTCTCAAGACTTCTCAATACCGAGAACGTGACAGCTGTTGACAGTACACACTATTGCACAAGTACACGTCAACAAGACTGTAGCATTTTCGCCTCAAGACTGTTCCAATGCCTCACCGACGTGTTTTCAAGAATATTCGCAGGCGGTCGGCAACCTAGTTTTCAAGCAGTTAGAATCGTAGCGGGCACGCTGTTTGGCTCGGAGTATGTGATGCCGAGTGAATGCCTAGAGGGGGACGATGCAGACAGCAACAAAAACCAACAATAGCAACAGCAGTGATCTGAAAACTGAAAAGTAACGAGCACCCCGAAACTACGCCGATACCCAGGGGAATTCGAGAGGGCGTCGCAGGCTTTCGGAAACAAGAGCTGGCCTGCTGCAGCGGCGGCAGGCTCCGTTCCGGGCGGCCTCTACTCCCGAGCCCAGTTCCTCGGGTGGTACTCCCTCTTCCTTGCGGGTGAAAGACGGCGCGAGGTGAGATTTATGTAGACTTGCCGGACTCCACCGGACGCAGAACAAAAACTAGAACCACCTCGTAGCGCTCGGAAGAGACTTTCACGACGATGTAGAGTTTTGGAGGCGGGGCGATAGACCAAGAACTTTGCTTGCGGTCGGCTAGTCGTTGAGCGTCCCTTGTTACGCTGCGATCAAACGCCAGGCCAAAAGGAACTACCTGCCAGACGTGAGCTTTGACTCAATGGGCGGCTACTGCCAAGAACTCAGAGTTTACTGGAGATACCACCTACCCCTTGTCTTCTCGGCCGAACTAAAACTCGAGGCCGCATTCCGCGAGATGAGCAGTGTCACCATCAATCTCCTCCAACTGATCGGGATGGGGCTGAACGCGTGGGTGATGCACTAGTTAGTAGGAGACCGCCCAGACACTAAGGGCGATCCCTTTCGGATGCGTGGAGACGACTTCGCGGCAGTCACGTGGTCGAATCGCTGCGGTGATGCGAACGATAAATTTTGGTAGTAACAGGCCAAGGGTGTACGTTCCGAAGAACTTGCCGGGCACAGCAGTCGTGTTGTACGATTTGGTCGGTGGTGCGACGTGCAGCAGCAGCAGCAGCAGCAGCAGCAGCAGCAGCGAGCGGGTCACCTCTTTCCTTGATGGTGGCATGCCCGGGGTGTTTAATCGCCTCTTGTGCGCTTGGTTTTACGCGGAGGCCGCAACGCCCGATGGACAAGGCCCGCCTACTGATGCTCAACAAGGATCGAGCACACGTCACCGACCAGTCTCCAAAGTAAATCACCTCCATAATGGACTGGAAAGTCGAGCAGTTCTTTCCCACCATGCCCGAAGGCATCGTCCCCACGGCCAAGCCGGCACAGGAGCACTTTGCCGGCATGGCCGTGGGGACGACGCCTTCGGGCATGGTGGGAAAGAAATGCTATTTCCAGTCCAACATGGAGGTGATTTGCTTTGCAGACTGGTCGGTGATGTGTACTCGATCCCTGTTGAGCATCAGCAGGCGGGCCTTCTCCATCGGGCGGCGGACGTTGCAGCCTCCGCGTAGCACGAAGTACTTGGGCCTTGCTGTCGAGTTCCATAGCTCGGCCAGTCTCTTTTTGGTTTGCTTCGCACCGGCGCTCTTTGGGCTGGGGCGGCTGGCACGGCGTCAGCCGGGGCAGCTGGCGCCGGAAGCCGCGGGGGTGGGCGTAGGTCACCAGCGGGTTGAAGGACGGCCGGCTGTGCCTGTTGCTGCTGCTGCTGCTGCTGCTGCTGCTGCTGCTGCTGCTGCTGCTGACCTGCCAGGAGTTGTTGGCGAATCACCTCTAAGTTGTTGGCGATGGCGCTATTTGCAGCGCCTCCGCCTCCGACGTCTCCTCACCCGGCCTCTTCAACGGCAACCGCCGCATCGATAACTTCCTCTTCGCCTTCTCCTGCCTCTGCCATGGCTCCCACCTCCCCATCCGCGACGGCTGCGACGCCGTTGTTGTTGTTGTCGGCCGCCGCGGCTGCGGCGACGGGTGGACATGACGGAAAGTCGACCAATTCCTATAATCCACAGATATCCTCCTTTTACCCCCTCACTCATAGATCTGCAAGCTATTATCAGGGTCTGCTACCAACACGGTGCTCGTCCACTGGCTGGAAGCATATCTCCGAATCCCTAGTGGTATCTTGCCTGTGATCCGAGCGACCACGAGTTCTCGCTTGGGTGTGTCCCAGATACACCTCTTTCCTCTCAAAACGTTTTCTTTGCAACCGTCACTGCTGTGCCAAGAACAGTTGTTCTGCGAGGGGGGCGGGAGTGGGAGTACAACCACCTCCTTTGTACTCTGATTTTGTTGTGATGGATCACGTTTGTTGGCAGGAGGAGTCGCAACTGACCGACGCTCTTCAGCGACGAAGACTGGTCAACCCGCACCTCAAGACGCTCCACGCAGAGCTGTCGCAGTGCGATGAGGATGGGACTCTCGATGCCTTCGGCCTATACATGTGAGTTCTGGTTATGATTCATTTCGGTTGTTGTTGTTTTGTTTCGTTTTGTGATGGGCAGGAAAACAGCCTCTTTGTTGCCTTGTTGGCACATCGGAGTCGTTCCAATCGTGCATCACTCACAGTAGTTGAGCAAGAACGGGGCGCTCAACGCCTTCGAGCCTTCCATGAACCCCGCGGTTAAGCACAATTTTGTTTTATCTCAGAAAAGCTTGTTCATGTGTGGAGGCGTCTTCAAGATTCGGGGGACGATAACTTACCATCCACGGGGTCAATGGAGGCGTTCGCGCCACACATTTTTTTTTCTGGAAGGTATGCGTAGCAGCAGAAATGGTGTGCACGACAAGACGGCGAACAAGTCGGGGATAGCGTAACATCCCGTCGACGTGACAGTGGAGGTCTTGACGTGTTGGGACTAGGCTTGGCGTTGGTGTCGGTCGGGCATGACTTGACATGACTCTCGGGAGTAGGGTGTCGCAGGTTTGATAGCAGACAGGTAGCAACCTTTTTCCTACGGAGCCCATGGTCACACGTGATCGCGCAGATACTGTATCTGGTTCCTGCAGTATTGTACTTTCGCTTGTTGTTTGAGAGTTTCGAGCACATATGATCCATTGGGGACTTCCGATCCACTTTGTCACCCTGCACTTGGGTACACATATCTCGGGGTTAAGGTGGTTGTTCCGAAATTCAAAAACACCGAAAAACGCCCTGTCTCCAGGCACGGAAATATACGGAGCGATTTTTTTTTTCATTATTCCTTGACTTTTTATCACAAAATAACCAGAATATTTCGTTCGCAATCTGCTGGGGGGTGTACTTTTTCAGAGAAAAAGTCTGACACCGGATTTCGGCAGCTCTTGAAAATTGGGGGAAGCGGCATCTTTCCGATCGAAAAAGTATCAAGAAATGACGAAGTTATGCCCCTTAAACAGATTCTGGGAGGGTAATCCGTTCGCAATATTCTGCAAGACCCACCCGTTCGATTCAAAAATAGAGGGCGGCAAACGATTCCTCTCGAAATTCCGAAGAAGATGCATCGTTGCGATGTTTCATGGAAACAAAATTTCGTGAGATATTCTGTGGTTTGGTTGCCGCTGTGAGAGACGCACAGCTCGCACGCACACACACCCACACGCATCCATTAATTACCCCACAGAGCAGCACACCAGTGGCCACACACAAGCCCCACACATGCCGCGACACAAGGCAAAAGCGACAACGAAAAAGCGGTCGAAGACGAATGGACGATTCACGCCACGTGCTCAGGCACCACCACCACCACCACCACCACTCGTCGATTCGGACCAAGAGTCAGTCTGTTTCTCCCATGGACATCGTCCCGGATGCGTCGTGTGTGTGTGATAATGTATATATGCATATATGCGTGTGATCTGAACGTGTGTGTGTCATGCTTGTAACCATGGAAGTATACGTCAGCAGTTACAATTGGTGCAGAACTTGAGAGCCCTGGGGGTTCTGTGGTGTGAGGGGGTTCCGTGGCGTGATTGGGGGTTTCGTGGCATGATTGTACACAAGCAGTTACAATCGGTGCAGAGATTGAAAGCCCTGGGGGTTTCTGTGGTTTGGGGGGGGTCCGTGGCTTTATTTGGGGTTTCGTGGCACAATTTGGGGGTTCTGTGGTATAATTAGGGGGTTCCGTGGCGTGAACCAGTACATTCAGGGGGTTCCGTGGATCATTTTGGCCAAAAATGTCGCATTTTCTACAAAATAAAAAGCTCTGCAGCTGTCGACGTAGCTCGACGAGGCGATTACGAATACCGTTGTCTCACGTTCCAATTCTTTTTTTCACAAAAGTTATCGCACAAAACAAGAATGGAAAAATTGTCCCGGACGGACCATACCCCGCCCTATGAACCACTCAAGGCAAACACTTATTCACCACAACTGTCTCAGATACGCCGCCGTCCTCAAGGCCCTGCGAGAGGAAGGGCGTGGGGGTGCAGGGGGCACGGGAGGAAATACCCCAACCCCTAAAACGCCTCACTCAAGCGGTGGTGGCGTTGGTGCAAATTCTCTTGGTGGGAGTGGCGGGGGAGCTTTCGTGACGCCGAGAGCACGAGCTCCATCGGGCGACAGGGGTGACTCGACCGGTATGCAGAGGGGGGGGGGGTTCTACATTTTGTGCATGTGTGTGGTTGTGAGGAGTGTTGTTTTTTTCTTTTTTGGGGGTGAGGCGTCAGGAGTTTCTTGTGTTCTTTTCTCGTTTTGGTAATGTTTTTTTCATTTTTTGGCATAATGCCATCTGCATGAGCAGGTTGCCAATACGTCATCCTTCGGACGGGGATGTGGTTCGCCCATGCCTTGACCCTCTACCGCCCGTTGTGTATTGACCGGGGTGGTTTAGCTTGATACATCTTGCTCACGGCATTGGCACAAAGGCACTTCTTAATCCACAATGAATTATCCCAACACGCGACTTGCGCTTCTTTTGTCGCACCCGCGGGGCCCCTTGGCTCGGCATTCCGTTCCGTTTCCTCGCTGATTTTCTTTGAACCGGCTGGTCTGCGTGTGTGCCGCGGTCTAGGAGGGGGGGGAGGAACGACGTCAACCGAGAAGACCGCGGTCACGACTGCGACAGCCCAGGAGGTGTTGGCTCGGTCTTTGCGGCTGTTCCCATACAATTGGTCCGCTTGGCTGGACCTTGCCTCCCTGTGTCTCGAGACCGACACGGTGGGATACTCTGTCTCTCGCTGTGTGTGTCTTATTCGTATGAATTCTTTACCATCATGTTATTGCCTTTTTTGCTGTTGCTGTTGTTGCCGGTACTATATGCATGCCGTGGGTGGTTTTGTCACTGGAATAGCTAGTGGTGGTGCTGCTGCTGGTGGCGCTGCTGCTGCTGGTGTTGTAATGATGATGCCTCCGCGATAATAGGCATGGACTGTCATGGTGATCCACGTGGCACGTACTGGTACGGCACTTTCTGGTCCCGCTAGACGAGGAAACCAAGGCCAAGTTTGTGGGATTACCCTATGATGCTGTGCGGTCTTCGATCAAGCACACACCCACGCCTTGTTCGTTTTCGTTGGCCTGACGGAATCAGGTACCCGAGCGGCTAGAGGCGGATCCGCCTTGCCAATGGATGTATCAGGTCAGTGCCGTCCATTCCGTATATTTGAGCAATGAGAGTGATGTTTTTTCTGAATGTCGTAATATGTAACTCTGTTTAATAGCGGCCTAGGTTGTATTGTCATTATTCTTTGCGGCTGATAGTGTTGGGCGCGCTGGCTAGTTTCAAGCGGCATCACCGCCGGCCTTCATGTTGCTTTGTTGCTGATAATAAACACGTGTCGACTAACTTTTCATGGGGACTGTTGAGCATGCAGACCCTGAGGAAAAGGGTGAATCAGCACGGACTAGTTCCCCAAGAGAAGAAGGCTTATCGTGACAGCTTGCTGCGGCATACGTGTTTGGTTGTTGTTGTATGCATATGTTCCAGTCATTTGTGATTCGTCTTCTTTTTTTTTTTGGTTCTGCTCTTCTGCTCGATTTGCTTCCCCCTTTTCCCTCTTTTCCCGACGGCGATCGCCGCCTCAGTTCTTTCTGCAACACCTTCTGGTTGAGCAACACCGCTCAAAGGATGCGCTCGCCATCCTCGACGACTTGGAGCCGTCTTTCCCTTGCAGCTCCTACGTCCTGTCGCAGACGGCGGTCGCCCACTACCACCTGAGGAGTGAGACGAACATTGAACAACGGTCATGCGCGTGTTGTAGTCTTTGTCCCGCTGCATGCAGTTCCGTGAGAGTAAGTCTGGCCCCGCCTTTCGCATGAGTCGCGGTGTGGTGTGAATGGTAGCCAGTCGAATGACTAGCGTGTGTTGCCAGATTTCTTAGGTCGGCTTGTGCTATTGTCGGGCTGGGCCATAGTGCACTGTATCGGTTGGGTAGTTACCGTACTGGTCCCCGTCTCGCTCTTTGGCTGGGCAACTCCGTAGAGAGGAGGTCGGCCTTGTGTCTATGTTGTTGCAGCAAAGGTGAAGCGTCGCCTCCGTTGCGTGGACTCGGAAGCAGATCCAGGAACCGTAAATATTATCAACCTTTTAGGGTTAACGTTAACGTAGCCCTAACCTTTGTGCTGCGCTTGGCGGGCGAATAGCAGTCTGTCTCGTGTATCCACGGGCGAACCCTGGCAAAACGGAGGGGGAGTCGAATGCGTTTCGTGTTTTGGCGAGACTTGCAAGTGCATGAACGACGTGTGCACTCATTAAGATAGCGTGAGCTGCACCCTTATCTCCGCACGTCTCCGACTCGAGCTCGACAAGCCGCGCGCTGGCTGTTTGGGTCAATCATGCTTATGGTCTGGTTTCTGCCTCGATTATCGCGCATGGTGTGTGGACCTCAACGTCCTTGATGAATGCCTCGGTGTTGCTGTGGATAAATGGCCAGATTTCGACCAGGGGCACGATGACTTCAAGGAGCTTAGAAGGCGGGATCCCCTGCGGATGGAGGGACTCGACGTGTTTTCCAATATCCTGTGAGTGATGCTCGCCAGGAACTGGTCCGACGATCGTATGATTTCTGACCAGCCTAGGCCATTGAATTGAGGGTCCCGACGACCCGCTTCAACCCCTTTTTGTTCGCATGCGTGTTTCGAAACCGTCACCCCGGGCTTGGCTCTCTCGGTTGTTTTCGTAAGTATATTTGGTGTATTGGTGCACGGCAGCTTGGTGGCACGATATTGCGCAAGATACCCACCCCTGCACGTGTAGCCCGTTTCGAACGTGCTGGAGCAGTTTCTCTGGCATGTACGGCGTTCTCGTCTTCTTTCGTTCGCTGGCTGCTGCTGTTTTTCAATGTTGGCTTCCCATCATGCTTCCTAGGGTCCGTGTAGTTCGACTGGCGCTGATGTTGTGCAGTCTTGCTTTTGTTCTGAACACTCGTGTGTGCCTGGTCTAACTACTCCAGGTACGTGAAAGAGTGCAAGGCAGAGCTGTCCTTCCTCGCCCACACCACCAACAAAAGCGCGCCGCTACGTCCAGAGACGAACTGCATCATCGGTGAGCCTAAGCAATGTGTTGTGAATGCGGTTGCCAATGATGCAACGATGTCTTGGCGTCGCTGCGTAGACAAAAAAGCGGGGGAACAAGTTGAAACTCTCAAAGGGGTTTCCTGCCGTCCTCCAAGAGTGTCAATCTCGTCCTTGACGGATGTGTTGCGCTACACGACTCACAAGACTGCAGCCCTCTAACCACGCCAGTTCCTAACAACGATGCTGGCCTTTTTGGCCTGGGGACAGTGCGAGGTCGTTTCCCCCCACGTATCTACTGCACTCACAAGAAAACACGCGCTGGTGACAACATTTGGCTTGTGACAAATCTGGACCGCGTGATTTGCTTGGTCTGTGTAGGTTCTTTCGTCGCCATGACGCGTTGGGTTCATTTTATTACTTGTATTGCCACCAGGTGTGGTGTCGTATTGTGTGCGCGGCGGGAGTGCTGCCTTGTGTGGGTGTGTCATCTTGTATGCGGTACAGTCGTCCCCGCTTTAAGGACACCATTTTTAAAGACACTCCCTGCTTTAAGGACACAACAAATATCAGAAACATGGTGCCCCGCAGATGTGAAAAAGTAGGGGGGGTAGGGTTTTCCACCATTCGGCCCCCCCAGAAAATGTGCTGCAGCACCTGTAGATCCTGGATCATCACAGCGGTCTGCTGCAGCCGCACACTGCGTGTGGGTGTATGGAAAGATTCATCCCATCTGCTAGCGGTTCGTCTGCTGCCAGCTTGAAGCCATGCGGCGATCTGCCAGTTCAAATCTGCACTGGTGTCACTGGTTCATCAGTGTCCGTGCGGGCGACCCATGCACGCGTTTTGTGGTCGGAGCATCGGAGAGCGAAGCTTTTAATTGCCAACGTTTGTTGTTTGCCTTGGGTGAAGTCTCGTGAGGTTGAATTTGGCGTTTGTGTTGTGTTGTGCCTCGTTTAGACCTTTTGGGAGGCGCGGTGTCCTCTTTGTCGCTGTTCTTTCCCGACATTTTTGCTCTCCGTGTTTCTGCGTAACCCACATTTTCCTAGTGTCGTTTCACAACCTTCGATATTTCTCAGGTGCGGTAGCGAGATCTTGGGCAAGATATTCACGGGGAGGACAACGCCTAAAAAATATAATAAAGCAAATAAGTAAGCCCATATCAACACCAGCGCACTACCGTCGTGTACATGTACGATGCGTAGGTCGTAGAACACCATCGCTTGCAGCGTTTTGGTGGTACCGTACGGGGAAATTCAAACGATGGTATGCAGGTATGTATTGCAGCATAATAGCAGCAGTGGTTGCGACCTTCAGTTCACCTTGTGTCGTAGGTTTCAAAAAACACCTCTTGTGGTCGCCTTTCTGCTGCGAATGCGCACCTTTTGACACATGTTTCGCCTTCATTGGCCCCGGGGATGGTGCGTTAGTGGCCCCGGAATTTTGAAGATACTTCCCCGCGTTGAGACACCTTTTTTTTGGGAAAACGTGGTGTGTCTTCAAAGCGGGGTGGACTGTACTTGTTGCACAAGTCGTGTGGGTACGAACCAGGAAGTGCTACGTATATATGCCTCTGCCGGCGTGGCACGAACGAGCGGCCAATGACGCTTTCCTCCCCCAAGAGCTTCAGGAGTGATCTCGACCTGCGCACATGAAATCTACACGATGTTACTCTGTGTCTCTGTTCGTTTGCCTGTACCCAAGGGAACTACTACAGTCTCAAGGGGCAACACGAGAAAGCAGTGACGTATTTCCTCAAGGCTCTGCGACTGGACCGACGATGCCTTTCGGCCTGGACGCTTATGGGGCACGAGTTCATAGAGCTCAAAAACTCTGGAGCTGCCATCGAGTCCTACCGTCAGGCCGTAGGTGAGCTGCTGTTGTCGTCATCGTCGTCGTGGTTGTTTTTGTGTTGACCATGAAGTTCCCCAGGGCGGTTGCTGTTGCTCTAAGAAGTCCTGCATCTCTGTTGCCGCTCCAAGTATGCACGGTGTGGGGAATGTGAGAAGCGATCTCTGTGTCAGCCCTCTACGGGGAAAGGCACAAGATCCTTGAGACACATGAGTTCCTCCCTAGATATAATATTGCCGTGTAACCCCCTAAAACCCCCATGTCCTTGCCGGATTCATCACTTTGCTTCATTTGTTTGTTATCTTCAGACATCAACCCAAAGGACTACCGGGCATGGTACGGCCTAGGGCAGGCGTACGAGATCCTCCAGATGCACCTCTACGCTATCTACTACTACCGACGGGCTACGGCACTCAGGTGTGCTCGCGTCATCGTCATCGTCATTGTGGTCGTGTGCTATTCGTTGTCGTCGTTCGTTGTTGTTGTTGTCAATGTTGATGCCAAGTGCGTCGAGCTGTGAGCGTTCTTGTGGTTCTTCTACAGCGTAGCGCTTGTGTCTGCCACGCAAGTGATGATAGAGAAATTTGTTCTGTTTTTGAGCAGGCGACGATCCAGACAGTATGATTCGACCTTCACAGCATCAAATTTACAACAGCAAGTGCATCCTGGCCACGGTTTGCCCCCTCTCCCTACACACAATGTCGCACAGTAGTGGACGGAGTGATATGTATCCTGACTAGGCTGGAATACCCTGCCCCCCTGAAAAGGTTTATTCGGTGATCTGCGCTTTCGATTCGGCACGCCAAGTCCGCCAACAATTGATTGCATGCGGTGTGGAGTTGTCAGGCAGAGCTGGTCATGATGTATAGGGACGACAAAACCTAGACCTGGCCCAAACTTTTAGCTGCCTCAACAACGCCCATCTGTGCCAAATATCGGTGGTCACTATCCTCCACCTCAACCAGGCCATATGACGCCCGAATGTGGATCGCGATGGGGCAGTGCCTCGAGAGGCTCGGCAAGCGCGCCGAAGCCATCAGCACCTACGAACGGGTGCGTGCAGTTGGTCTTGCCATTGCCACATGAGGGCGACATCATCGTCTAGTATTTATCGCGAGAAAATGCAAGAGAGCAAGAGAAAGACATATAAGGAGGGAGAGGAGGGAGTGTGTGTGTGCGTGAGAGAGGTTCGAATGAAACAACTGGGTGGATGGGAGGGCACCAATGACTTGAGTGTCTGGCTTTCGTTGCGTTTCATTTTCGTTGTGAATTCGTTTCCAGGCGATGGCTAACGATGATCGAGAGGGTATCGCCCTCGCACAGCTCGCCAAGCTGTACGACGCTGCGGGCCGGAAGGGCTCGGCCGCCAAGTGCTACGAGACCATGCTGGCCACCAGATCGGCAGATGGCGACGTGAGAAGCTATGCTGCGATTTGCCGTAGCTGTTAGTTTGGCGGATCGATGTTCGAGCTTGCGTTCAAGACGTGGTGTGTGAATTACATGCTGCGCTTGGGTTGCTCCTTGAGAAGATCCCTGTCCGCGATATCACCTTACGAAGCTTTAGCTTCCGATGTCGAAAGGTCGCGAAGTGCGCGTTGAAGGGAAGACTATCCTCGGCTTGCAGAATCGAGAGTCTTGGTCGTGATTCGCAAGCTTGCGTGTGCTGCCGAAAATTTCGTTCTGTGAACAAGACTATAGAATTGTTAGATATTCTTTGTGCGCCCCAACCCTAGATCGTTTTCGAGAGGGATTGAGTTGATAATTTCCTTCGAAGGTCGGGGGCTTGGCATGGTATGCTCGTTCGCGAGAGATGTTCCAGGCCATTCCAGGTACCGTTCATCAGTTTGCCTAGTTAGTCACCCTCGGGCCGCTTCATGACTTTCTGCTTCCGTGGTTTTCGCTGACCACTATTTCATAAGCACCAAGATGGTGACGCTCGTCCTGAATGTACCAGGGGGCCTTCGCCAGCGAGAAGGTATCGGAACTGCATGCCTCGAGGAGACCCGAACGGTCCTTTGGTTGAACGATGTTTTGGTGCATGGCAGGGGAAAATGCAATCCGATACGACCGTAAACGAGAACCACAACACCCGTCCGCTCTGCTTAGCTTGCAGAGCTCTTCTGCAATGTGCCCGACCCACGGTGTCTGTTGTCTGTGGTTTGGTCTTCCGGTTGTCGTCCCCCCTGACTCCCTCGCAGAACTCGTCTGCAGAAGAAGGGATGCATTTCCTGTGTCTCTACTACAAGAACAGGGGCGACTACACCAGGGCATCCAAGATGGCGAACGGTCTCCTGGACCACACGGGAACGGTGAGTTTCCACTCTCATTTTTTCTCTTGGTATCGTGAATCCTTCATGGCATGCTGGTTGTGGAGTTATTGCTGCTTCCTTCCTGCGTCGCCGCTGCTGCTGCTTCCTGCTGATGTTGCTTGTTGCCATCGGTTTTGTGATTTTGAACGTTTGTGTCATTGTTGCCGGTGGTCGTCCTGTTGGCATGTTGATGGTTGTTGCCGCTCTTATTGTGCGGGTATTTTTTGGAAAGTTTCTTATGATGGAAGGGACGACGCCAGGGTTCCCGCACGCCTATCTGCTCCTGCACCCTGCTCCATTTTGTTTTGGCTCTTGTCCAGTATATCTAGACGAGCATTGGCAAGGCATCCAACTACCTCCAGGAGAACCCATGGACACGCGGCGGTCAATGTCTCACTTGTCACTGTAGTAACTGCTTTGCAGGATGAAGTTCGCTACGTATTCATGCCCACGCCCCCAAATCGCGATGTAGGGTTGTCCCTGTGACTTCCGCTTGTTTTTGCTGCGCTGGCCTTTTCGCCATTTCCAGCGATAATGATGCCCATTTCATGCTAAACTTTTTTTATCGTCACGCCCACCGTTTCTCTCACCCACGTCGCACGGACGACGACACCACAAGTCGCGTGAGGCAGCGCTGGCGGTTCTGAGAGAAATCCGAAGCATAATGGAAACCCGACAACACCAAGCCGCCGAGTCTTCTGCCCTACCTCAGCCCCACAACGCCAACAACAGCCACAACGACGTCTCCCTTGACGGGGGCAGCGGACGGCCGCTATTCACGCCGAGGGCGGCGACAGGGGCATCTCACCACGACGGTAGCGGAGCGGGCGGCAGTCAGCTGTTCATCGCCAACAACAGCGGCGTTGGTGGTAGCGTTCGTGGTGCAATAAGAGCAGCAGGGGGCACTTTCCCCACCCCGACCCCTCGTAGACCCGGCAGGGTCTGCAGCGGGGTATCACCCGGAACAGGTGGAGGCGGCGGGGGAGCTGCGGGAGGTGGGGCGGGATCAGGGACTCCAGGCTATCGACTGATGGGCAACAGCGGAGGGGGAACTTCTTTGGCGCCACGGTCCCCGGAAGACATGAGTGTCGCGATGAGCCTTGGGTCTTCAGACGAAGACGACGACGGAGGGGCGTTGGCCCGATATTCACCGGGCATAGCGACGCCGGTAGCGACGGGCCATGGTGGTGCGGGTGCCGGGCATGATGGGTCGCCTGAGGCGGGCGGAGACGGGCAGGGCGAGGAGTCCTTGAGCGATATCCTGTCCCCATGACAGCGTCCGGACCTCGATCGTTTCTGATGTTTCTAATGGATCGACCCGTAGCGCTGGGTTTCGCTTTCGGTGACTAATAGTGTGTTGGCCCGTCCGGGGACCAAGTCAAATGCCTCTTTCCCCTCCCTGATGCCTTCGCTCGTGCGGCCAATTTTTTTTTCGGGTCGGGAAAGTGCATGGTACACCGAAGGGAGAGAAGAACGTACAGGAGACGAGAAGCCGTTCGAGCTTATTGGCTTGATTCTTTGTTTACCTATTGATGTAGAAGTAGGTGCCGAAATGGCGATGAAAACGATCGAGAACGGCAGCTTTTCAGCCAACGATGGACATGAATGTGCTCTTGAGAGTGTCTGTCGATGATGGTTGGTTCGAGTGCAGTGTTGTGATGAAGCCTTTGCGCCGAGGAAGGCCAAGCCCAAAGAGTCCATCGTTCTGAAGAACCGTGGCCACAGGAGGAGCAACCGGGGCCTCCTCCTGCACGTTTTAGCAAATCCTCGTAGCTCATGCTTGAGGTGACGAACGCGACACTCGAACAATTTTTCGCGGGAAATATCTCATTGCGGCACAATCCAACGCTCACAAATACACGCTTTGGTCTTCAGTGTCAACCTCAACACGACCATTGTGTTCTGTACCTGGAATGCTTTCCGCTGCTGATATGTCGTGGAGTCTTGGCGTCGTAGCTGGGGTGTTGTCGGATCCATTGATCTGCGTCGTACACGCCGATTGTTCAATCTTCCGCAACCAACCGTCTTTATGATAGTGTGACTTGACCCTACAAGAACGAAAAGTATGGCGTTGCCGTGGCATGCCATCACACATTTAAGAAACTTTGTTTCGGCTTGCACTCGCGATCGATTCGGTGGCTCAGCCCCACCTCCCGCATTCGCCGTTGATGGCGTCGGTGAAGCGCGCGTCTTGTCCCCTCTATATCAAGACCCGCCCCGTTGGCTCCAAGAAGATAATGCAACAATGCAAAGTAACCCAACTTCTTGGCCTTCAAACCTGGTCAATCCTCAGTAGAATATCCCCCACTCTCAGTTCACATCCTGCTGTGTTGCTCTCCTGCTTTACGCCGCCCAGTGTTCCTCCTCCTTGCTCGCGAATTCACCGACAGTGATTACTCCAACGGGTCGTTTCCAACACATTTACCCCAATAAATAGGTACGAACCCGCCTCTGGCGAATTCGTCGGTTTCAATAAAAGAAGTCTGCATCGGGTAGCCTTCACAAGCTTGCCCTTGCAAACACCCCGATTGCTCCATCTTCCGCCGCCGTCTAGTTCACAGTTTGACTTGACCCATGCATGCGAGCCCGTTGGAGGCAGGGACATACACCCATGTATCCCCGGGTTTTACGCCGAGGCGTCGGCGCATTGGCGTTCGGCTCTCCAACCCTGACCCCATCCCTGATCCATACGCTCTCTCTCGCAGAGAACGTAGCCAGACACCGCGCCAGAACTCGCAAGCAGGGTCCGCATGAGTAAGCGGGGTACATTGATCAAGCCAAACTTAACCCCAAAAGACTAAGACTACAAGTAGATTGCGAGATCATGTTCCCTGTTGTGTAGTGCTATAAGCGACAAGGGCAAGTAGTCTAGTTTGCAAGGCAGGTGGTTGTGTTGGATGGTGGTTAGCTGCGAGCTGCTTCGCTTATGTCGAGCTTTGGTCGATGCACTGTACTTTTTGTAGCTATGGGGCGCTACCACCTTACGTGCCTTCCTGTAGCACGGCTGGGTGAGTGTGGGCCGGCTTCTGACGAGCAGGTGCGGAAGGGGCAACGAGAGCGAGGCATTTTTGCAATCCATCTAGCTTCATGGTAACTTTTTGACGATTCGTGGTAATTTTTCGCATTTCTCCCTCCTCCGAGGGCGTGGGTGGGTTGGGGCCTAGACTATGTGTGGATATTTTTTTCGCTTAGTCTAGACTACACCCCTTGACATAGCATAACGGTGTACCAACTGGGAAGGGCCCACTATCCGGATGAATATTCAGTACGGGGCTGTAGAAAATACCCATGAGCAACCCTTGCATGGGAAGTCCATGGGCAGCCAATGAGAGCGTTTTAACCGAACCACCAGCCAGTGTACCCCTAAGCAACAGTTTATCTGCATTGATTGGACCGGGCACTGTGTTTTCGCCCTATTCATTTATTATGGCGACAGTCCCTCCATTTTTTTTTTCGTGAGACTTGTACTACACTTTTCAGCGTATTTAGAGTACTACGACACTTTTCAGTGTGTTATTCGTACAACTTCAACCATCCAGGGTCACACAGGACGGAGGGCTTTCTTAGTTATATTCATTTTCGTGTCCCGCCTTCCTCCTGCGGTGCCTGCTGAACTTCATTTTTGTCGCGAGAAGGGTCCAGCCGTCCCTTTTCCTCGTCAACGGTGCCAACGTCGAAGTTTGGTTCTCACGAGAGCTTTTTCAGCTATCTCGCTTGCACCAGAAAAGTTTGTATACTTTTCACCCCATATGGGGATTTGAACACACGACCTTCGACACAAGCGGTTTACGAGGATACCACCAGACCATCGCGCCGGATAGTAATCCTAATGCTAACCCTAACCCCAACCCCAAGCCAACACGATACGTGCTAGGTTTGCGTTGGTGGCTAAGTTCTAGGTTGATGTGCAGGTGTGTAAGTTCTAGGCTGATATATAGACTATGCCGGTGGCGAAGTTCTAGGGTAAAGTGCCCACGGTGGGCACTTCATGAGCCACCCACGGGTAGTCGCCCGTGGGCGGCCCATGAAGTGCCCATAGGCGGCCCATTGGTGACCCATGTTGTCCCATGGGCAGTTAAGCAAAATTATGAGGAGTGGGGGAATTGACGCATGTGGGTCTTGGCACCTATTGCTACAAGTTGCTAGACATTCCAGCCGGGGTTGGAGTTGTTTTCTTTTCGGTGAGAACGACCAGGTGCCATCTCGACGTCCCTGGTCGGAGATACTACGTCTCGGCACGGAAGAACAATATCAAGTCGTCCGTTCTTGTCGTATTACGCACCCCCTGTGTCCAGGTCCTGACACCGAACAATGTAATGGACATCCAGTTGCGTTCTTTTTGAGCTTGCGCGATCTTAATCTTTGTGGTCGACGTAGAAAAATGCATTACAAACAAACGTTGCCGGCACCATTGCAATTTTTTCGTCGTGACCTCGTCTGGCACATCTACATTTTTTTCACTACTTCGTGAAAGTGAATACGGGTTTCATCTCCGACAAGGACACCACTGATTAACCGAACGCCGTCGTGCTGTGTCAGTTTAAAGGTTTGCAATTGCGTGGTAACCGTCCCGGCCTCGGAGAGGATGTTGACCTGTTCCAGATTGAGCGGAGCTTCAACTTGATGAGCAGACAAGAAACGATTATTGATCGAGATGGAGAACACCGACACAGGCACACGTTAGTGCAAGAGGCACCATTCAGCCCAAATTTGGTGCGTGCGTGTAGAGTGGTGCAGGTTTATCGATGAGATGCGTTCTAGCGCCTCTGGGGTTCGAGAGAAAATCTGCTCGATTCGAAACTTCCGACTGAAAGTGATCAGGGCTGACTGACAAACAGACAACAGACAGATGGACACATTTATTTGCTTTCGTGGAGCGGGGAAACCTCTAACGACCGTATCGACCAAGTGACGAAATTTGTTGTATGTGGAGGGAGCAAAGTCTCAAAACTGCAACGACAAGATCAGTACTTGCAAACCCCAACAACGTCGCTAACAAAGCTCTTCGCTGAAGTTGCACGAGGGAGACGCATGGAGAAATTCTAAATGCCGCACAAACTGAAACACAATATTGAAACGAGGACAGTCTGGTTTAAGGCGTAGACTAGACAAAGGTGTAGACAAAGCAAACCGAGGTTTATTGAAACGGTTCGAAATGCAATACTGTTTATATGGGGGTACCCGGAATGTATTGCGTACTCCGGGATTTTTCATCCCCACTGCATTCGTCTCTCACCACTCTTGTTCCGAGAGCATGCTCTTCACCGGCATACATTGTATCGTCCTCCAACGGACTGGACGACAAGGGCATCGACGAAAAATCATCCCCAGTCATCCCCCGATCATACTATCCTCAGATACCTTTGTCTTCTGTTGTAGCACGCCCCACGAGCCCCTGGTAATTAGTACATTGGTAGCGCTTCCGTGATTGTAGACTATGCTTCCTTGCAAAAATGATTTCTCCCGCCGGTTTTCGTACCACTTTGCGAATATCCTCCACCCCAACACCCTACATGCATGTGCAGATAAGTCTTGAAGAGGAAAGAAGGCACTGACATCAATCACCAACTAATTGTATGAGCTAAAACTTCCCAATCGGTCTCTGAAATGGGCCCTTGCCAATATACACCGTTCCCGGGACACGAGCACTATCACGAATGGTATTGACTGTGGCCACCACCAGCACTGACAGGGGCTTCCTGAGCACAATGTCGACCAAAACAGCAATTCCGGTCGCTGCAATCCAGTTCCTGCACAGAGAATCGAGAGTAGGAGGGGGCAATAGATTGTGGCAATGGTGCCTTGTCGATAAGAGATGGAACCTTGGCGAAGTGTAGGGAGAGGTGCGTTTAGTCATCCAGATCCCTGCTCGCTACTCTCGCCGCTGACACAGTCCACTCAGTGCCTACGTGAAAAAACACCATGTGACGCGAACCTGGGCATCACCCAAACCCATAATATTTTGGGCAAGAGAGAGATCTGGCAAAAAAACTCGTTGATGTCAGAAAAGAGTGAAGCATTGTGCCTGGAGAAAATCGAGCAAGGCGTGAGAACGACCCGTCGAGCGTCCGCTCGGAAAGTTCACAGCCAAAGACAAATCCGACTTGAAAAAATGGCGGACGCGTAGAGGGAGCCTGAGGAGCTTTTCGACTTCTCGTGCGCGTCAGGCCTGCGAGCGGCACTGCACCAACACGTTGCCACTATTGGAAAACTTTGGCAGTCCCCGCACCGTATTGCAGGACCATCGTACAAAGCCACGTAGCAGAGGTTGATCCATGCCACCGACGCGGTGAAAACGATGAGGCATGTGTAGGCACGAAACGTCAGTCGCTTTCGCATGCTTCTGACGTGAGGACTCTGCCATGCGACCACTTCTTGGCGCCGGACAGCTCTTCGCGGCGGCAGCCCCAGTAGTTGTTGGTGAATCAGCACACGTCAGTGACGGCGAGCAAATTAATTTCATCATTAGTATCCCGAAGGGGTGACGATGAATCATTCATATTCATTCGTCATGACGTTCTGCACTCCCTGATCGACCTGCAATTCCATTAGCAGTACTACCCATGTCAATATTGTAAAGATACGGATGATATTGTTGTCGTGGCGACACCGGATTTTTTACAACACCAAGAAGACGTTCATGTGATGGAAATGAAATCTTCCCGTGGATGACGGAATATCAGTTCTCTTTCATACACTTGACGTGCATAGAGCCTTTTTCATACCTCTGACGGGCTTGGTACATTCGCACCAGGGTCTGAATCTTTACCGCAGCCGTGTTGCGCAAAATGCAAAGGTCGATGGTCCAGGAGCTGACGTGCTGGTGGCTGTGGTCCACCTTGGGCGGCGGTCGGTACATTTTGGCCATTGATATCTGGGGCACAAAATCCATACAAAGGAGAACGGGGAGCACGCAGCCAGTAGAAGTGGAGGGAGGGAAAGAGGGGAGCTTGTAAAGAAGCTCGAGACACAACCGATTGGGCGCGATGGCGGTGCACATGCCACCGACTCCATGACATCGGTAGTGGCTGAACTGTGCCGCGAAAGTAAACATTATCGCACAAAACTTCGCGCGCTGCCTGCACTCCCTCTGTACTGCCGACAACCGCTTTTCTCGGGCTGAGCTTGAAGTACACCCGACGGAGAGCACACGCTGCTCTAGAGGGTTTTGGACTGATCCTCTCAGGCTTTTGATAAGCGAATTATTTCAAGGCCTAGGAGTCACCAGTATTTCGCCGACTGCTCTGAATCCGAACATCAATGTGTGAACCGTCAAAATGAGATTCATGGGGGTAGGAGGTCCACGATTGCCCAATCGAGGCTTGTGGTCCTATCTGGGATTGGTCCACGTCTCGTCCGCTACATTGTTATGCTGGTTGAAATACTTGTATCTTGTTCGTCTATGCATTGAACTACGAGGAAACATAGCATAGAACGAAAGAAGAGTGGGTGAGTGGGAAACGACACAAACAAATTTTGTAGCTCCTGACGTTGGTAAACCATTTGAATCCTTTTGTGCTTCTCCTCTCTGTGGGCTATGGTTTTTCTGGCACGCTAAGACGCTCTGCGTGAACACATGTTTTCGACAGGGTGGTAGAACTCAACTCCTTGCCTCATCGTGGGTCCCCGTATCACGTGGGCAATACGTTCCTGCGTACCCCAACCTCGACATCATGATAATTCGAATGAGCTCAACAGACACCATTTCTTTGGTTAACGACTTCAACAATCCTACCCTAGATGGGAGGACCACACACGGCGTAAAGGACAGAACGGCATCGGGGAATCATATGGCTACGTGCCAGATGTGGTTCCTACAGACCCCGAACTCGATGGCGTACCTGGGACATGTATCTTTGATTCACCGCATCCATACAGGGCATCAGTTCATTCTGCAGGGGAGGCAGGAGCAGCCAAAGGACCGAACGCGCAGCGACCGGTGCCACAGGAGCAGAGGAAGAGGGGGAAACAAGATTTGATTCGCACAACGACGAACCATGGCTGTGCATACAGTCTACCGATGTATGAAGGCACAGGTCGGAAACTCATACGAACGGTATGGCAAGCATTCTACTCAGCTGCCCCTGTGGGCTCCGACATTCGCGAGGTTCGAGCTCGCTGTTGTACTGGTATTCAAGTGAGAGCAGAGTCACAGGTTGGAGGAACTCTTGATGGAACCAATGTCTGGGCGTATGCTGCGTAGGTTTCGACAAATAGACATGTACGACTTCAGCGGAAGACCTAACTGTTCCGAATGCGGTTCAACATGCAATGCGTCCTCGAGCAAGGGTATATGTTACCTTGTGGCTTCCAAATATCATGGCGATGGAGAGGGCGAACAACGTTCCGTACAACGCGGTGGACGATGCCGCGTTTCGCATTCCGTGGAATGCCAGGACGACCTGCAGCGCGGTAACCACTATCCTCGCGAACACGATTGAGAAGAGCACCTTAAAGTTCAATATGCTGAAGGTCGACGCCCTTGTGGAGAGAACAGCATCTGTAAATATGTGGCCGGAATACGTGGGTGTAGGCATGCGGATGTGAGCTATTGTTGTTGTTGTACGACTAAACAAATCATCGATGAGGGGACGGATGGCGAACCCTGATTGAGATGATATGACACATCGAAGCACTCTAGTTTTCCAAGCGTGAGGTAATCGAAAGACGGCATCCCCACCGATATAAGAATTATCGGTTTTTCTTCAAGGAACATTTCCCCAGATCGGGGTTAAAAAAGGGCCACCATAGAATAGGAGAGCGGATCATGTGATTGGACTTTGAAAACAAAAAGCGATACACTGCTCGAGACAAAATATCCCGAGGAGGGCGTTCAAAAGTTCAATAAGCAGCAAGATGTTGCAATTTCCTTGCCAACAACACTTCAACCCTTAAGATACACCAGAGGAACAACCACCACAATAAATGAATCACGTACGGCATGCTCCCACCGCTGCACATTGACATGTTCCCTCGTGCCTATCTGAACGTCGAACGCGCCCCAGCAAGCTGGATTACTCACCAAGGAAGAGGAGCCCCAAAAGCAGGCCCGCTGCGGTAGTGGAAATCAGAGCTTTCTCAAGCTGGTCTTCGATTCCAATCGTTGCCGATAGCGCGACGCACACCAAATCGAGCAACATTTGCCAGAGGCCGGACCACACCAGGTTCCTTGGAGCAAAATCCGTGGGAGAAGGAGATGGAGTAGAAACGAGAATGGCCAAGTGGTCAAGACTGATAGGTAAGGTCCGGCCACGGTTGGCCTAACCCTGCGGTTCCTGGCTTGTGAATAGTCCCCACGTGAACACGAAAGCAGGCACTCGCGGCGTACTGCTCGTGACGTCGCCACATTAAAGCTATGGTTGTCGATCGAACACGAGAGCCGACCCAAACTGCGAGCAACGTCTTCACATCTTCGCGTCTTGTTTCGTTGTGGGTGGCGCGGCATCACCGCAAGCTACATCCAACACACGGTGGACTATCCAACCCTCCCAATATTGCCGCAGGCGTTTGCAAACTATCCCGCGCTCGTCCGACCGGAACTGATCAACTAATGTGCCATTGGGCGTATCTCGCAGAGAATCATGACGGTCGGCTCCAGCCGGAAGTCTCGCCAAATGTTTGGTGCCTCATCCGAACCGAGATAACCATAGAAAGCTCGCGCTGGAACGACCTCTAGGCGAACGCATTCCGTACGCGGTACGTCATCACTCGAAGCGGATGCTACTGAAGTCAGACCCGAAGACAGCTTTACGTTTGTTCAGCGATGTTGGTAGAAAGGCACGATATTCTGCTGAGGTTCGGCTAATATCCTTTGCCTGCTTGGTGTTTCGACGTGCACATCGTGCCACCCTATTGGTCTTCCTCTACGACAAGACCTCCTGCCAGCGCTTGACTGTCGTCGTACTCACGTCCCGCGATCAACAGCCCCACCCGAGGAGTACCGTCGATCCTCTCGGAATGAGGACGACACTCGCGACGTGCTCTTCAACACCGCTGAGGAAATCAGACGAAAAACCGCCACCACCGTGTTCGGCTCCCGCAGCCACCTACCCGCAAGAGGGCGCAGTGGAGTTTGTGCTGAACGCCATATTGTGTTGTTGACTCATCAAGCCTTGTCTTGCGTCTTTACATTCAAAATCTTCCTCCAACAACTTTAGGCTTGGAGTACACACCGTTGGACCATCGAAGAAAGAGCGAAACAGAAGGCACGCTAATTGAGTAGCAACGGAAACTGGGAAGTGAGCAGCGCCATCACCATGAGACAGAGCACGACAGAGCCTGGCTTCCCACACGAATGGATGTTTCCACCACCAAGGACCACCACCGATGACGGCATACCTTGATTGGGAGTTGGCCTTGGCATAGGTCATGTCTTGAGCGGTTGTACTTCCTTGGCTAGTGGGTGGGACAATCTGTGGAGATTTACGTTTGGGCCAACACGACAAACCAGGGCGTTGCTTGTCTTTTCATCGGATGGGTGCACTTCTTGGAACTATTTCGTACCACGATGTCCACCGGATGTTTATGACACGAGAATGCGTGGTAGGATGAACTGCTATCCAACCAGCACGTGTGCCCTGTACAAAGATCTCAACCGCGTTGCAGTCGGTGGAAAAGCGACATAACGGTGGGTTCACACCGTCTTCCAGGCGAACCTATGATACATGCCTCGGTCGAGAGGGATGCAATGATAGGGGGTACCCCCTCGGTCACATGGAGTGTTTTGGGGGACTGTTGTGCACTGCCTCAACCAATGAAAAAAATGCGTAATTGTTTTGTACACCGCGAGATATACGCCAGGCGGCTGCGTGGGCAGAATTGATTTCCATGAAATGCAAAAATTGAGAGAGTTGCGAGCATTTATATGGACCTTGTCGGGCGACAGCATGTGACCTATGTCTTTAAAAGTGTCCCCCCCTACCGTAGCATTGCTCTCTAGTTAACTCTGGGTGGAACCGCCTGAACTATTTTCGTCCTCGCGTGTAGTCTAAACCAACGGATGTTTACCTACCTTTTCCCACGCATGGAGCATTGTCACCGTGATCGACGGCGGGGGGGCAGCTGCAGCCGCGAACAGCTTGGGAAATAGGATGGAAGCCGGCATCGAAACAGCCAGGCTGCAAGGCAAACATCGTTAGGGTGAACGGTCGGCACGGCCGAAACAGTCGGTGTCGGGATCGAAGCCTCCAGCTGTAAACGATGTTTTGCCACCCTTCGCAGCTAGAGGGTTGCCGTACGTGTGGTGGGTCAGGCCACAAGGACGGGCACAAATCCACTATGGATATCCCAATACATCTGGACGCGCTGTGATAGGCGAGAGAGAGTACATTCGAGGCTGATCTAGCCCCCGCACGAGAGTGGTACAACTGCACAGACTCACCTGACAACAATATGAACAGCTCGTATTTTGTAGCTCGTCGAGTTTGCGACAATACTCGCCTCTACCAGCATATGGACGAGTATCTGCGCAAAAATCAGCAGGGACAGCTGGCACACGAGAACGGCGGGGCAAGGGCACAACCAACGAAAAGTAAAGGGGAGTCTTCAGGTGTGAAGTGCAAACGTCGGTGTCCTGGTCGGTATGGGACGGACTACGGACTACCAACCTCGGGCTATTTTTGTACCCGCAATGCCATGTTCTTCAACTAGACACAACCCACAGAAGTGCCTATTAACATGTGTATACGAGACGATTCCTCACGATTTGCCCACGGTACCTATGCTCGTTTCAACCTGCCGCGGAAGCGAGGTAGCCGGGTCCGACAAAGCGACGTCGCTATGGAGCTCGAATATCGGAGTCTCCAGAAAAATAGACATGAGCTGAACGGGTTAAGGACATGACGTCTTCATGGACAGAAGTGCAGGGTGCACGAATACGCAACCGCCTCTCTTCCCGCACCTGTTCACGGGTAAGGATTAGATCCGAAGAGGAAGGCGCCACAATGCCAAACCAGGGGTGGTGGCGAAGCACCAAGCGAAAGAAGCCTCGAATCCGGCGCGCTAAGCTTCGACATCTGTGCTTCAGCGGGGAAAAATACGGAAGTCTTAGGCGACTCGTCGCGTGAACCACGTTGGTGAAGGTTCTGAATGGCGAAAATATCCCCTTGCCACATGTCCACTGATAATATAGATGGCTGGCCCCGACTTGAGTCGGAGTTTCGGCATGAATGCCACACCGATCCCGAACCAAGAAACACACTTCCAAACACCTGCTTTGTCTGTTCTCTTGGAAAATAGAGCATAAAGGCTAAGAATTCGGCTGTCGCGTCCGGTCTTTGCCAAGTATGGTGTCGGAAGCGGGCCTGCCCTATGAGGAACACGTTCTTCCTTGCGCTGGTGGTGAGTTTTCGACCCCCCTCACCTTTTCATCATGTGCTGCCGAAATGTCGTCTTGACGCGTCTTTCCAACCGCTTTCTCGCGTGGCGGTGGTGCGTGTCAGGCGTCGGGTTCGCTTGGACCAACGCTCCCAAGGTAGGGCGATTCCGAGACTACCGAATGGTTGATTCAAGAGTCGCATTTCGGCCGGTGCGGGGAAGTGTGTTCGTCACGCGGAAGATCGATTCCCGAGACATCATGTAGCAACAGGAGTGTACAACACCCGAGGGCAACTGCCTGGCCCCAAGAGATCAGACCATCCGCGACGCATATACCACTCTCCGCATCAGCTCACCCGCAACCACGCACAAATGCTAGCGTACATGTAATCACCCCAATACCTTCCCGGTGGCTAGGTAGACCTCGTCGGTCTTCCCTTCCAACTCCTTGCTGAGGTTAGTCTTGACATCAGCCATTCTTGAGATGGTTCGGAGGACCACTAGCAGGAGTAGGACAAAAAGCAGTAAGAGGACACCCATCTTGGAGATGTCCCGCACCTCCAGAACGACGGCTATCCCCGCAGTCTGTGGTGTGATAAATACGTAACGTTTGGAGGATAATTCGCAGAAAAATGGGAAACCAACAGACCGAATGATGAATACATGCACTCGAACACGATGCGTTTTGGTGGTAATTGACACATCGCAGCGTGAAGATCGACCATGGCTCGCCAGAGAAAACGGAAACGTATTCGTGTTGCCTTCATGTAGGGGCATGCTCAAGAATCGTGTCGACGGAACCGCACTAGTGTACGCCCGCGTCGGCGAAGGCCTTTGTCTCTGCTTTTCCGCCACCTCTGCTCCTCTTCGAGCGGATTCCCTTTGAGGGTCCATTTGCGAACCTCCATTATTCCGCACTTGAATGCTGGTACGTCTGGGTTATTTAGAGAGTCGTCTTGTTCGGGCCCTCACCAAGTCCACATGCTGAAAACCCGAGCCCACTTCGTCCGCGGATATTGTGAAGTCCGACAAGTGAAACGACCAACAGGTGACGTTCAAATCCGTTAGTCCACCCGCGTTGCTTTCGTCTATTGGCGTTATGGCGGCCTCGGTAACTAGCCCATCCTCATCCCAAAGCCCGGTAAGCTCGTTGTAGTACGCGCAGGATGGGCTCTTGGACGACGTCGTCGCCATTGAAGCCCTCATCGTCATTCGAACTGGTGCTGAGAGGGTAATATCCTGGGATATGGGCGTCAAGAGTTTCGGCCAAGATTTCGGGAATGGTGGTGACCGACACGGAGGGTGAGGAAATTTCCGGACGAGCAAACAGAGCGGGTGGTTTCCCCCCCTTGCAAGCACGAAATTTCCTCGCAGATCATACTGCTCGGGCAATAACCCATCAACAAACACGAAAGGGCCCGAACTACCCGAGAACAACCGGGCACAACTTACTTCGAATCGATAACAAAATGAAGCCTGTCGGGTTCCAACATTAACCTACCCACGTGGTTTATTAGGGCATGCAGTAGTCTGGCACTTGTAGCTCCGTACCTCGCCTTCACTTGAGGTGGTAATGGTTATGCTCGATACCCCAGCATCTACTTGACTTGATGGGCTGCCGTTGGCGCTGAACTGTAGGCTAGCAATCATGATCGTTGATGTGGCGGACGCAGTGGTGATCGAATCCATCCGGCGTCGTTGCAAATTGCGACCGTTAATTGTTCGGCCCACTGGACTAGAGGATAAGGTCGTCATTCGTCTTATTCTCCGTTGCACGCTTGTGGGATCAATAGCACCCTCAGGAACAGATACCGATAATGAACCTGGTCGAATGGCATGTGGTTGAGCAAAGCCGAGAGTATCTGAGTCCAGTTGTAGTGCAAGCACGGATGAGGGCAGTATGTTCTACATGTAGAGTGTCGTTCCGTGTTCCTCGCCAATGATAGCCAAGCACACGCCCCTCGTCTAGCGCCTTTGGACCGTGTCAACTGATGAGGGCAAGAGCGAAATCGTCTCACCAGCGTCGAAGTCCATGGCCGAGGTCTTCGAGGTGACAAGGCCCAACACATCAATGAAACTGTTCCCAATGAGTGCCGCGTCTTCTCCGTCTTCCAGGCTTGATGTCATCAATAGCGCCATCGATCTCACCGTTTCCGGCAATCTGCTCAGGCACCAGGTCGTTGGGATTTCGAAATCAAGATTGGCCCAAGGTAGGACAACATCGCAGCATGCTCGAGCGGAAAAACGGGTCTCTCCACTTGAACACCCGGACCAACGCGAGACACTGTTGTCCACCACTTCCATCGAACGGATAAAATCCCGAAAACAAGTTCCATGACCCTCGATCATGCTCGTCCCGTGGAAGTGAATCGGGTGCGTTTCGGGAGAAACGACCGACATATCCCGACGTTTTTTTTGACAATCTATTCTTTGAGGCCGAGATGCGATATTCACTTACATTTCAGCGGCAACATCGCCGAGCTCCTCTCGTCCCACAACTCCAGCTGAAGATAAATTGTATCCGCCGATGACGTTATCAAGTACTTCCAGGGTGGGGCTGAAGGAGTCCGAATCCCAGGAGTCCTCTTCTACCGCACGCTCTAATACACCCGTGGACAACGACAGAATCGCCTCCTGTTGATGAAGTTCGCGACAAGTGAAAAAAAGACTTGAAGAGCACCAATTGATCTGGGGTAACTTCTCCTCTCTCAGGCACCGTTGAACCTTTATGAACATGCTCGCGCATGAGATGCAGAGTGCGTAGCGGGGCGAACCGATCGTCTTGGAGGGGTCGTTTTGGAAATGGGCACTATCAAGGATAGCATACGCTACGAAATGGAAAGATCTCAACAACGGTCGTCCGAAATTTCGCGGAAACGCAACGCAGTTCAACCCCGTCCAGCAACAGCGTTCGAGTGGCTGTGCCGTCAGTCAGCGCGATTCCAGGCATGCGGTCATGTATGAACGGATGACAGCACGAGCGCGGTCAGACGGCAGGGATCCCTTGGAACGAAACGATCAGGCCAACAAAACTTACTGCGCTCTACCACATGTGCGTTCACAACAATTTATATATGTTGTGGAGAGATGACGACCCAACCTTCGCACCTGCGAATCCGATGTTCGTAGGTTTTCACTCCCGGACACCAGCACCATCGTATCTAGTAGGGCCCCCGCGGTCGTTGTAGAGTACTCCAACACCTCGAAGTCATCCGCTGCGTCTTGAACCATGGTCGCCATCAAGCCCTTCGGATTGACGAAAACGAATCACGGCAGGGCACTCGAGGAGTCCGGCTGAGATGTGTGTGGCGCGTAGATCCTCCTGCAGACCACGGAAAAACATTGTGCGGCGCCGATACACACGACAATGCAACCAAAACGAGGATAACATCTCGACCACAAGCTCACCTGGTACATTGCAATTTCCTCTGGGAGGTACAGAGACGCATCCTCGAACTGGTCCACCAGCAAGGAGGCGTACGCCCGGACAGTTGATGTTGCGTCCCCTGGGGTGTCGGCGGTCTCTTCATGTGCTGCCTGGTAGGCGTCGACGATTGTCTGCACACCAGATGGGTCGGTTTGATTCATCATGTGATGCGTGCCTCTGACCAGCCATTACACAGAGAACTGACCTACCATGACACGCCATCAATTCTCTCGTCATTCTTGCGCGTCTCGATCCGCCCGGTTGTCCATTGAACCAAACGTTCCTAATGTTTAACAACCACGCAAAGTTTCTGGATGATTGTCAGAGTGACCCCCCGCGTATGGTTGTAGTCATCACCAGTCTTCGCACTCGATCACGAAGAGGTGCTCTCCGCACTTCGTCTCGTCGACAAGCATATTCAAAGCGGAACTCAATTATCCTGCACGTATCGGATGTTTTGATTCACTTACAGATTCACCGTTTGAAGCAGTCCAACCAGTGACCCGAACAGTCACCGGCGACCCAATGGCGTCGCTTGTTGACACTGTTGTTGCCCCGAAACTGTCAGACACATGGCCTGCGCATTGTTTAGCGTGCGGAAGGGCAGGTCACACATGCTCTGGCAGAAAGGGGAGTTGTTCTGCTTCGGAGGTTTGAGTCTAGGGACGTTGTAGAGTCGCGTCATTTTCTGCGCTGACCATGAAACACGTTGAACATCGGAGGGAAGGGCATTCAGACAACGCAGAAGGGGAAACGCTGCCAGGGTATCGTTAATTTATGGTCTTGCCAATCCAGTCTACAACGATGACCGCAGCGGGAATTTCGTGTAAATGCACAGCAGTTTGCGACCGAGGCAGGAAAAACAAATATTACGAGGAATATACACAATCAGGACTTCCCAGTGTACCCACCTTTTATCAGCATCGTGTAGTTGTTCGACGATGGGCCGAGAGGCAACGAACCTTGCCACTCCGGGGATTCCGTCGCAAACACGGAAAGGCTGCGTTGCTGTCCGCTTCCTTCCTGTGGTGAAGACACGAAGAAATGACTCCGTTGTGATCGACACATATCAGACCCAGCACGCAGCGTACCTATCCACAGGTCCGGAAACAAACAACATACACAATCATTGCTCGCATCCGTGCCTCTCACGGATTACTCCACCTCACACGTGCCATGACCTCGTACCTCGATAACGCTACCCAAATCCTTCAGCCACACTGATCCCGTGCGACCCCCGCGTTTTCCATCATTTGTACATTATGAAAGTCTCCGTTTCCTCAGCAACCGTTTCCCGCATGACCATCTCCGCCGTGTGCATCTGGACCGTCCATCCTCGGTGGAACTGTGCGTTATCCGCCTAGATTATAAGTGGTGTCTGCGTTGGGCATCACGCACACACCTCGTTGGGTTCTACCGTCTTGTCCATGGTGTGATCATCGAAAGGTCAATCTCTATACTGTAGCAAATGAAGCTGGATGAGCATTCCACAGTAGTACCTCGTTGTTGTACGAAAAGGAGAACAGTAGTGGGAGGTCGTCCACTTCGTCCGTCCAATCGAGGCTCTCCAACACAAACGTATCGACCGCTACGACTCCCGCCCTTGGAGAAGCATCGACGTGGCCCCCAGTCGGGGGCGCGTTTATTGTCAACGTCATATCCGCGAAGGCTGAAGGTGGTTGCAGGACGTGCGGAATCGGGTATCGTGCTTCTGGTTTGGTGGCAGAGAGGGGTTGAGCTACTAACCAGGCTATTTATCACGAAACAAACTCACTCAACCACGACATCAGTTTAAGCCCACGGGCACGCATCGAAAATCAAAATAGTCGCGCGATGTTTCCAAGATCCAGCAGAAACAGTGAACCCTAAACCATTTTGAACGATGCGAATGGCAATTCACACGAAAAGGCTTCGGCGGGCGCATCAATCTTTTTCCCGGACAGTAGAACCATTGTCACGCCCACCTGTTGCTTGGGAAGCCACGCCCGTTGCTGACAGGCGAAAGGTATAGGTAGATCCACCAGTGAGCACCCCGCTTGGGATCACAAGGTTGGCCCTGGATTGTCCGTGCGAAAAACGGGAGACCCGGTCAACGTGTAGCTACGGCTACCCAAAGGGCATGAGGCACGATTGAAGAGCTGGTTGTGTCAAAGCTCGTAATCGTTGCTACATTCCCCTTCGATCGTCCATGAGGAGCACGAGATTGTGTTGTCACCGTCGCTGCGATCAAACACGATCTAAGGCTTCCGCAACGCTAATGCATACGAGGTTGGTTCCGTTTGTTCTCACCCCGTCTGAGCGGTTGCGAAAACCGTGCTCCACTCCCGCTTTTCCAGGTCGAGGTCCCCTTTGGCCTGAAGAAACAATTGAATCCACAATAACATCGCGTAATTCTAATATTGCAGTCGAAAGTGGTGTTTCTCGACCTCAAGTACGATCGTGGTCGGCAGCAAGGGGCTCCACAACGCCTCAGCTCGAACTACGTGTGGCGTTTCGATGGTCCAACCATGCTGGAGATAGGCGTTGGAGCTGCCGCTACAGATATAGCGGTGCATTCACCGTCATTCGTTCGCTAAGTTCACGCATCGAGAATCCCTACCATCAATGCTCATCCTTTCTGCACCTGGGTCCACAGGAGATCGTACGGCGATGCCTGTTCCGAGACAGATCCATAGATGACCACTTTTTTGGTAGGGTCCTGCTTCAGACTGTCGTCCTTGGCGACCAAAACGACCTCAGGAGCCTCGAAGGACACAACCTAGTAGGGGAGAAGTCGAAAAGAACGCGCAACTCATCTCTAGTATACCGGAGGCAATTGCTGTTGTTTCGAGGAAACAATACGGTGCACTTTCGATGGGGTACCGTGCAACACTGTTGAATTGAAGGAGGCAACAACGAAATACGAAAAGGTGCATGCTCGTGGAACTTGGATTGTTTGGCTTGAAGAGTAGGGAAAAAGAGGTCAGAGCGATCTTGAATATCAAGCCAAAGAAATATGCAGCAACATTAACAAGCCCGCGAACAGCAGGTTTCCTCGACGGGCAATACTTCTATGACGACCCGGCAACGCTATTGGTCTTAAAAGGCCCACCACAAGCTGTAAGTGCTAATAGGAATGCTTGTGATGCGCCGGAAACAGGTAGATACTCTACGGTTCACAACCGCACTTGGCTTCATGGTTCCTTACGTGAACAACTAAGACCCTGTTGCTCGCCCCCACCTGCACTTTGACGCTGGCCGTATCCCAGCGGAGCTGACTGTATAAGTTGGTAGCGTCGACGCTGCCCTTGCTGACGTTGAGGAAGAACTCGTAGATCTACCGTGATAAATAGATTTGGAACGGGATCGGCTCGGCTGTCGTGATTGATTCCGAGATCAAAGTCAATCGACGGACTCGGCAAATACTGCACGGATACGTAAATGTACGTGAGCAAAAATGTTTTTGGCGCGCACGGCAGAATCAAAATCGAGGGTAGACAGCGGCCGTCATCTTCTAGGTTCATGCGGTGATGTGCGTCACGGTAGATGTGGATTTGCTTTGCAGCAGCTTGCGGGATATCAACACGCATCACCCAAAAATCAAGTCACAAGCTGGAAGAAAATGGATTTTCTGACACGAAACACAAGGGAGACGAGAGCTGATTTTGCCCGCGAACGGTGCCGAAAGTACGTGCGGCGAAGGTTGAAGTTGCCAGGGCTACCCTGGTGGCCAGAGAGGCAGGTTGGGCACCAACTGCAACCTGGGGGGAGGAGGTTGGGAGGCCGAGTTCGTCCTTGAACCCATTTTATTTTCAGGCTTGCAGCTTGCAGCCCGTCGTGTTGGTTGGAATAACGGCACTAGCCGAGATGCGGGATAACTTGCACACTTTGGGCTGCAACCTCCCTGCAACCCCCCCCCCTTCCACCAGCTTTAGCAGGTTCCTCAACCTACCCACAACCTGCCCTGGCCACCAGTTTGCGTGTAGCTCGACACCGAGGAGGCGTTCTGAAACCTACGCAGTCGGGAGGTTCTTACCAGCCCTGACTCCAACTCCTCGGAAGGAATGACCAGCACGGATTCGTCTGCGTCCGCAGTCCAGTCATCTTGTGACGTGCAGTTCTGTGAACACCACCACTCGTACCTGACACGTGTGCATCATCACCAAGGACGTCGTAAGTAGAAGCTACGCTCGATTCACGTATGGGCACGGTGAATCAGCCCTGCGAAAAGTGGCTTGAATTCGCCCATACCTTGTGAACTGAGGACAAACGTCTTGCTGGCAATTTCGCGCCCGGCACATCAGGCAACTAGGGCAACCACCCTAACGGTGCTAGTATGTTGTGTACGCCTATGTTGACACGTGTGCATCATCACCAAGGACGTCGTAAGTAGAAGCTACGCTCGATTCACGTATGGGCACGGTGAATCGGCCCTGCGAAAAGTGGCTTGAATTCGCCCATACCTTGTGAACTGAAGACAAACGTCTTGCTGCCAATTGCGCGCCGGGCACATCAGGCAACTAGGGCAACCACCCTAACGGTGCTAGTATATTGTGTACGCCTATGTTGTCCGGAGGCAATGCCGCAGCCCCCGGACGTCGAGTAGGTAGATCAATGCGACAGGCCTCGAGCAGCGCATCTAAAGCGGATAGGGCTAAGTCATCAAAGGTGTACGGTCAAAGATGGGGCGTTCATAGGTTATCCCAACTCTGGTGCAATCCACATGTCCTATGCGTCTGTGACACGGGAGCGGGAATGTACCCTAAACACACCGCATGTCAAGTCCCGTAATGTCGTCATCGTCCACCGAGTCGCTCCCGTCCAGCACAAGATCGTTGCCTGCGGGTGGTAATGGAGTAGAGAACCTTGAGGACACATCACGTGATCTCGCCCATGTTTCGCTTTACGGAAGCCAGGTCTACTCACACACATGTTTGCTTCTTGGAAATATTACACGTGACGCACAGGCCTACCACTTCTCTTAGGACGCCCACAGGGTAACTACTGTACATGAAAGTGAACGAATATGGCCGGGACGAAACGTGTCAGTAAAATGGCACCGGTAATCCTATCCAATAGGATGATCATTCGCTGTGCCGCTGACACTTAGCTTTGGTTGCCGTTATAATCGCCTTTGCCCCTTCTGTACTTACTGGGGCTGGCGAGGATCTCAGGCCTCAAAACCAAGACTTTTCCTCTCGACACGAACGTTCGGCACCAGACGCCCTAATAGGGACCACGCACTCCCGATCCACCTGCAGAATGTTGGCGGAATTCGCCCCCTTGGATGTTGGCCCGCAGAACCCCTTGTTCCACAGACACCTGTCAGGCGAATGGGAACAGGCAGCGTAGTATGGTGTTACGGTACAGTTTTCGAGGAAACACGGCTGTGATTGCGTTAACCATTTCCTGTGCACGTAGGTGGGGGGGCAAGGAGCAATAATTCGATTCGTAGAATAAACCAGTAAGACCTAAACCAGTAAGACCTACCTCAGCTTAGAAGCAAGTGACGTCCACAGTACAATGTATCTGGCACTTGTGAACTTTGCACAGAGTTTAACGCACCTCCACGGTCGTTGAGGCGCTCGCTTCCGACAGCTGCGAAGTCGCAGCTGCGGCAAAGAGGTAGCTGGACCCAGGATAGCCCAGGGTGTACGCAGGAAACGTAATGACCGTAGGATCGCGCTGCGCCAAGCCCTTCGAGTTTGCGTGAAGCGGAAATGGACAAATTGTCGAAGAGATTACCCCTCGCCAACCATACAAGAAGGATGTGGGGTGTGGGACAGCCTGCTTACCCTAGAAGTATTCCTCTAGAGTCTTTTTTTTTCTCAGCGCGAGGAAGCAACCAGAGTGAAGCATGCACGACAAAAAAAAAGAACACGTGCCACCATTCCCACCGCTTTGGCCTAGCGCAGGTTGAATACTACCGGTACGACAAGAGCAGACCGTCGTATTTCGCTTGCGCTTCACATCAGCACAATACGTATGCCGAGTGAGCCTCCTTTGCCTGCTCCGGAAGCGGTATTGTCGGCGTTCATGAACATGCGGTGGCTGTGCCTCAGCTACAGTAGAATCGTTGTTCTTAGCATGTTCAGCGTCCCGATGTCAGCAACTGTCAGTCGGATGATTTCGGGACGAGCGGGCCGTCATTCATGTATCATTGGAACTCGGAGCAAAGGCGTGAGGATGAACCCGCTTGGAGTTTGCCTTGCGTGTCTCCTCCCATGTTCACGAGGTGAACACGATGAGGGCGTAGACACAGACATGCAGAGTTCTTTGGGTTGGAAACAGGTGGCGCGGAACGGCGGGAACAGCCTAATATCCGTTTGGTGCCTCGACACGTTGGCGGCATTGTTGACCATGAATCCTGGATGAGTTCAGATCGTTGCAGGTGCCTCTCGAAGCGCAAGCCTCCATCCGCTTTAAAAAGCGCGTGTCACATTGGCATTCAACTTACGGCATAGCCACGGCATGATCCTCAACTCATTTAATCAAACAGAGTAAATCAACAAGTTTCGACTCCGTCAGCATTGGGTATGCTAGTTGTTAGCTCTGCCGTTGTGGTTGCTGGAAGGACGGAACGCCCACTATTCGCTTCTTCAATTACCTGAAACACTTCAGTACCGATTTCGTCGTATCCAGCTCCACCAACTTCTGACCACGAGTAATTGAGCAGCTGCCTTTCGCCTGGACAAAGTGGGTTTGCGGGCGAGTCCACGAAAATGGCGGAAGTGATGCTGAGACGCCCTTTCTCGGGCAACAGTAGGAGGCTAATAGCGGTCTCAAGGAGGGCGTCAATTTACGCCGAATGGCGCTCCTTCCGCAAGTCCAGTGTGGGCGCTGACAGCATGTACAGTGGAGTCGAGTGTTTAGTGGCACGCAGGGTGCCGGGCAACTAACTTCGAGCTTACCGCAGGCCGGTGATGTTGCTGTGACCCTGAGGGAAGTCGGCCGGCTCCGTTTCACAACTCGTGTTGCTGATCCAAGAACTGCAACCGACGGTACGTCCTGGGCTCTACAGAGCATGTGTGCCAACGCGATACATGCAAGGGTTGCAAAACTGTTAAAGAGCACGTGACTGTCGTTTGCCTCGTATTGTCAAGGAGTCACGAGAAAAGTAACAGTATCGTTACTGATACTCTCCCGAAGGTGAAGCTGGGCGGTGAATCGTCGACTTTGCCACGGATTTCTCCGAAGCAGACACCGCTTGTTTCATCGCTTGGAAACGCGGAAGCGTGGTTTGCTGTCGATATGAGTCTGATGTTGGAGCGCACCCGTCCCCCACAAAGGCGTTCTGGAGGCAATCGCTCAAGAGCTACTTCCAGGATACCTGGTTTCAGGGTACCACATTCCAGAAGTATCTTACTGCACAGTCGTAAATAGAATCATGTCTCAGATACACTCTCACACTCTCGTGACGGCCACAGATGCCTCATTCGTGTCGCCAAGAAAGTTCCCCACCGTCAGGGCGAACATGAACTCCAAGTCGGGTTCTAACGCAGCTGCGTCGAGTTCTGCGACCAGGGATCCTTCAAACAACGCGAGAGAAGCCTCGATGCTACTCGTGTTGGCGCCAGGTGCAGCCGAAACGACCCAGGACGCTGACATGGTCCGCGAAAGTGCCCCTGAGGACGCCCGTCCGTCTAGCGTGAGCGTGCCGCATAGCCCCACGGTCTTGGTGCGCCCAGCAGAATCGGTCATCACATTTGGGGAAAGAATGGGAACGACAGCGGGCGTTGACGGTTGGGAACGGGTAGGATTTCGACATCTATGTCACTGGCTTTCATGCCCGAGGCCCCCTCGTGGATGTGCGTGTGGTGAAGCGATTTCTACCTGACACAGCGGGGGTCTTCCCTCAAGCTGTCATGAGAGCACGACTCGGTGTATTTTAACCTGTGTGACAACAACAGCCACTTCGAACGCCAAAGCAGACAAGCCCTTTTGAAGAGGGGCCCTCGGAAAGGCAACTACAACTCGCTTCGGAAGCCGTAAGTTGTTTTTTGCCGGCACAATTAGTAATACGCATGTGAGCGCTTACATCACTTTCGCGGCACTGTTAACATATATGAACAGTGCTGATACATAATTGCTTGCTCACTCTGCACGCGCCAAGACCAAAATCATCATATTGCATGACGTGTGGTGTCTGGGGTAGAGGTAGAAACACTTGTTTGGTTCACAATGAAAAACCCCACACGACCATAGCATTTCATATGCGGGTGCTTCGCGCCTACTTTCTCCTTTTCCACTGAGCACGCATCATGCCAAATGATCACCTTGTACCGCGTGTGAGGTTTGGCTTCGTACGAGCAACACCTGTTCAGCAATAAACACCAAACCGGGACCCACAACGGAAAGGTTCGAACTCTCCTAAATCCACGTCCCCGAATGAGCGTGGTTCCATACACAATGGTGCCAGGTCTAACGTCTGACGGCTATACCTGAGGGGCTACCAGGACCGCCGATACCGTAGGAGGGTGCTCAGGGGCCAACACCGGTGTTGAGCCCTCGGAGGAGAGAACAGCTAGTGCCTCCGTGCGGACGCCACCGTCGAGCAGGCTAATGCAGGAAGCCTGGCTCAGGCATGACACACCGGAGCCCGTATCCGGTTCGACGATTGCATCGTAGCCGAGGGCTATGGTCAAATCTCGCCCCCCCGTCCATTCGCCTGGATGAAAAATGAGAACGATGATGTACATGTTTCGGACGCAACCACAGCAGAGGTTTCGACGCTGATGCTGAAACCGATCCGACACTTCATCAACAACATACCTCATGCTATTCATTGTGCGGGATAGGTATGAGCGTTTTGCGCTTGCATGACGCCTCCCTGGAGTGACTAACCGAGCACAGAGTGCTGCTTGCAGCACAATCCGTGAACCATGGTATTCACCCGTGCGAGAAAATGGATGGGTTGTACGCTCGGTCACTTGATTAAGTTTCGCTTGGTACACTGTTCATTTACAACGTTATACAGAATGTAACAAACTCACATGTTGCCCCTTCGCCGATGGTGGCAATCGAGGATGCGTCGAGCAGCGCTTCGCACGACCCCGGGCCGCTTCCTGATGCGACGTCGGTGGCGTTTAGCAGCCCGCTGCTTGCTGAGCTCTCGGGTGAAAACGCGACGAGGATCGATTCCCCGTCGTTTGAAAACATGGCCTGCGCACGTTCCACAAGTACAGGTCGCGGTCTAGCATGAAGGGCATACTTTGCACAAATTGCCGCCGTTAAAATCACCTGGTGGGCTAGGGGAATCTGCAGCAACCGCTGGGGTCGGCTACTGTGTATGCGACGCTTGCTTTTCTGCAGGGACATGAGCAGACGATGCATAATACACATGACACACCTGAAGCAGCTCGGGCGGGGCGGTACGGCCTTGGAGCGATACCGTTCCTGTGGCGTACTCGATGACGCCGTCCGACACCAACGGGATCCCTCCAAGAATGTACCTGACACGCGAAAATAACGTTCGGATGAACATTCGTGTGGCATCTGGGTCGTGGCACATGTGCACGTACACTATTCATTGGTATCGCCTTCGCTCCACCGAGAGCGGCGGGGTGATAATGCGTATGGACACACATGAGACGAGTGTGGCAACATTAAGCCCTCGTGCCAAACATTACAAGAGGATACAGGCCCTGCCCGTCATCAATGAGTAACAATGACCGCCTCCGTAGCGCATCGGGTGGGGTGGGTGCGACCGGTGCCAAACGTTTCGATTGCAGGAGACGTGATGATTGAATTTGGTCAGAATATCACCCAACGTTTCGTACGGGCGCATCCAAGTTGAGGCTCGTCATTGTCCGTAAACATGATAACCTTCGGTGCAGAAATCCAAATGATGCATTCCAAAACCATAAACGTCACCCGCTGGCTAAAGTGATGTTGACTCCGGCATCCCATGAGTCGGCATACGCGTCATCGTAGGTGATGACTGCTGTCGAGCTGTCTTCCGACCAATCGCACGTTGATTGGTTTCCGAACGTCGTCCGAGTGTCCTCGTCGAGCACTCTCTCGATGTTGCACCTACCACACATCCAGAATATGCGCCAGAACGAGGAAGTAAATGACGCAAGATTAGGTTTGCATCCCAGTAGTCGCCCACACGCTGTCAAGTTTCAGCGCATGATCAAGATGTGCTCCTGGATGTCGAATCTATCCAAAACGAGAACTACCAAAGATCGACCGAATACCACATCAGGTGCCTTGAGATCCCCACGGATACGCTTGAGAAGTGCCAATAGATGCCCTCTCCTCTTCAAACTTCCGCGGGCGTTGACACAGAGACATGTTTTGTTCTGTAGCAGTTCTCAAAGGTAGGCTCACGAAAGGGATAACTATTTCCAGCAGCACGCCTGTCAGCATCGGTTAGGACTCACGGGCTCTATATTCCGCACTGAAAGGTACCCAGCACAGCTCTCCCAAACAAGCCAGCAAACGGAAACAGTGGACAAAATGGCAACAATTGTTTTTTTAACCTCTTACTCTTTGTCGAACTCCCCTGAGACGATGTCATAGCCGCAGAGTGCCACATCCGCAACGCTCCAGCCCACCTCCGTACAAAAGCATGTACTGCTGAACTGCAGGGAGAAGGTCTTTTGAGTGTCAGAGAGCACGGCAGACTCGAGGTTGGGCGCTGGAAGCAGAACAGCCACGGTTGGGCCACTCGTGGGCGACGGCTCTGATGTCGTCAAAGCCAGCGTTGGTCCAATTGTAGGTCTTGGAGTACCTTCACCAGGCGTTGGCGCCGGCGCAAATGTGGGGGGTCTCGTTGAAGGGACCGGAGTTGGTCCAGGTGTAGGTCTTGGAGAGCCTTCATGACCACATATTGAGCAACACGGCGCAAGCAGTGGGCCGTCCGCCAGAGCTTCTCAAGGGTAGTCCTGACACATCCAATAGATCTAGAAATCTCAAGTGGTGGGGCGCCATTTTTCGAGAACACCACTCGACAAGGCTTTATGACGGGTATTCCCTTGGTTCACTCGAAGATGTTTTCCTTCTTCCCATCTTGTCCCTGGCCTACTGTATAACCCTTCGTTCATGTTTCTTGAGCAATCCTGCCCGCCCATTCGACGACTCTCCCTGAAATGGCTTCCACAAAATGTCTATTATATTAATCTCAGCGAAACCAATCGTGCCCTGTTTGAAATCTCGCGAGACGCTATCGAGATAGTAACCTATACCGTTTCGTTGCGAGTGTGGTCGTCGCCTCGTCGTCTCGACGGTGCTGTTCCTACGTTCGACAGTCTCCTTTGAAGAGCGTTTCCGGGCGGAAATTGCGTCAGTCACGCAAGTTGTCCGTTGGTAGCCGAATGAATAATGCAATAACGAGGCGCCGACGGCTCGAAAACACAAACTATCAAATCGATTGATACTAGCAACGAGCCGCAAAATCGTGTAGCAAAGCAATATCCGACGTTCAATGAAAACCGAACGCATAACGACGATTTTGGAATGCACGAAACATAAAAACCAGAAGGCAAACCGCGAAAAACGCTCTCAGCTGCACGTATCTACAGTCGAGCCTGCAAAGCCTGGCTCTGCCTTTTGCGTGGAACAAGCACTGATAACTTCACAGAACGACACACAGTACACCGCAACGGCGTAGGTCCGAGCGTCTCCTGGGGTTAGATTATTTCCCACGTGTCCGCGATGTCTCTACGTGCCCGAATTCAACTTACCAACGGGTGCCGAAGTGAGGCTCTCAGTGGGCGACGGTGAAGGAAATGGTGTCGTCGGGAGCGATGTTGGGCTCAGTGTCTGACACAGGGAGGATATCCAAAGGAGAATAATTCGTTGTCGGGAAACAGAAGAGAAGTGCGAAACCCGGCACCGAACGTTGACGAGGTAAGCCGATTTATTGCTTACCAATTCGTGATCGGAACCAAAGGATGTGCGTGCCTGCCAATTACTTGTCACGTTGACTCACTACGGGTGCCGTAGGTGCTTGGCGGATGGAATTGATCGTGCTGTGGGCACTCCAAAGCGAGGACGTGGCCAATGGCTGAGGTTGGCTCAAA